TGCCTGCCTGCCTGCCTGCCTGCCTGCCTGCCTGTCTGTCTGTCTGTCTGTCTGTCTGTCTGTCTGTCTGTCTGTCTGTCTGTCTGTCTGTCTGTCTCTGTCTCTGTCTTCCATTCAGTGTCTGCCTCCACCTACCCCCCTCCCTCCAAAAAAAAAAAGGTTATTTCCCCCCTTCCTAACCTGTAATTCTTTCCCGGACAGCTGAAAAGCTCCGGAGTTTGCCGAGTCGTCTTTGGTGGTTTTTATCGTGAGATTCTGTCTCCGAAAGTTGGACGCCCTAGAGAGCTTGTTGAAGAGGACGATCAGACAAATGATCACGATGACCTGAGCTGAGAAGGGCAGGAGGTACTGCATGGAGATCTCGTAGTCTCTCCTGTAACCCCGATGACCAGGTCTGTATGCCACGGCCAGTCTTGTCGTGTTGTTCAGAGAATCTCTAAACTCTCCGATATACAGCGTAGCAAACACAGGCACGTAGAAGCTGGCTATAACAACAGTAGTCACCAGCAAAACCACCGCAGTTCTCCTCAAAGTGAACACGTTCTTAAACCTGAACGGTATCGCCACGCAGAACATTTTTTGTAGCGAGACGTACACCGTTATAGCCGTGGAAACGTTGTAAAAGAACATCCAGGAGAACATGACGAAGAGATTGTAGCTCACGTCATAGCCGAAGACTCGATACACCAGAAGGATGACGTACACCGAATACGTCGCTACAAAACCCAAATCGGAAACGGCCAGGGAGAAAAAGGAGAGTGACGTGGCGCTCTCAGCCACGCCCATTTTACCGAAGACGACGACGTTGATGATGTTGGTGACGAGACCGAACAGACAGACCACCGCCTGTAGGGTTACCAGGAACCACTTGAGGACGAAAAACTCGTGAGCCGTCAGGATTTGGCCTTGACCCGGAAGATCAGGGGCTGGCGTGAGGTCAGAAGTCAGATTGTCTGCGTACAAGGTCATCGTCGTGTCAGACATTGGTCTGGGCTGTGCTTCCTTTGGACGAACTGGATTTAAAAAGATACAAGAAACAGTACGCTTATTTATTTATTTATTCATTTATTTATTTCTTCATCTATTTGTTCATTCCTTTATTCATTCCTTCATTTTACATTTTTGTTGTTTTTTGTATGGGAGAGGGGGGGGTAGCTGAAAGATTTTGACCTCATACCAGTGGGTTTAAAAAGGGTTACAGTTATCGTGATAGCTGGTTGTTTTGAATCAATCCTGTTGAAATTGTTGAACACTCTCGTGAGTATTCTTTCTCTCTCTCTCTCTCTCTCTCTCTCTCTCTCTCTCTCTCTCTCTCTCTCCCCCC